AGTGCCGTGTTCTTCAGGGTTGCGTGTTGGGGGCAGTCTGTAGCTAGTACCGTGTTCTTCAGGGTTGGTTGTGTGTTGGGGGCAGTCTGTAGCTAGTGCCGTGTTCTTCAGGGTTGCGTGTTGGGGTCAGTCTGTAGCTAGTGCCGTGTTCTTCAGGGTTGCGTGTTGGGGGCAGTCTGTAGCTAGTGCCGTGTTCTTCAGGGTTGCGTGTTGGGGGCAGTCTGTAGCTAGTGCCGTGTTCTTCAGGGTTGCGTGTTGGGGGCAGTCTGTAGCTAGTGCCGTGTTCTTTGGGGTTGCGTGTTGGGAGCAGTCTGTAGCTAGTGCCGTGTTCTTCTGGGTTGCGTGTTGGGGGCAGTCTGTAGCTAGTGCCGTGTTCTTCAGGGTTGTGTGTTGGGGGCAGTCTGTAGCTAGTGCCGTGTTCTTCAGGGTTGTGTGTTGGGGGCAGTCTGTAGCTAGTGCCGTGTTCTTCAGGGTTGCGTGTTGGGGGCAGTCTGTAGCTAGTGCCGTGTTCTCTGGGTTGCGTGTTGGGGGCAGTCTGTAGCTAGTGCCGTGTTCTTCAGGGTTGTGTGTTGGGGGCAGTCTGTAGCTAGTACCGTGTTCTCTGGGTTGCGTGTTGGGGGCAGTCTGTAGCTAGTGCCGTGTTCTTCAGGGTTGTGTGTTGGGGGCAGTCTGTAGCTAGTGCCGTGTTCTTCAGGGTTGTGTGTTGGAGGCAGTCTGTAGCTAGTGCTGTGTTCTTCAGGGTTGCGTGTTGGGGGCAGTCTGTAGCTAGTGCCGTGTTCTTCAGGGTTGCGTGTTGGGGGCAGTCTGTAGCTAGTGCCGTGTTCTTCTGGGTTGCGTGTTGGGGGCAGTCTGTAGCTAGTGCCGTGTTCTTCAGGGTTGTGTGTTGGGGGCAGTCTGTAGCTAGTGCCGTGTTCTTCAGGGTTGCGTGTTGGGGGCAGTCTGTAGCTAGTACCGTGTTCTTCAGGGTTGTGTGTTGGGGGCAGTCTGTAGCTAGTGCCGTGTTCTTCAGGGTTGCGTGTTGGGGTCAGTCTGTAGCTAGTGCCGTGTTCTTCGGGGTTGCGTGTTGGGGGCAGTCTGTAGCTAGTGCCGTGTTCTTCTGGGTTGCGTGTTGGGGGCAGTCTGTAGCTAGTGCCGTGTTCTTCAGGGTTGTGTGTTGGGGGCAGTCTGTAGCTAGTGCCGTGTTCTTCAGGGTTGTGTGTTGGGGGCAGTCTGTAGCTAGTGCCGTGTTCTTTGGGGTTGCGTGTTGGGAGCAGTTTGTAGCTAGTGCCGTGTTCTTCTGGGTTGCGTGTTGGGGGCAGTCTGTAGCTAGTGCCGTGTTCTTCAGGGTTGTGTGTTGGGGGCAGTCTGTAGCTAGTGCCGTGTTCTTCAGGGTTGTGTGTTGGGGGCAGTCTGTAGCTAGTGCCGTGTTCTTCAGGGTTGCGTGTTGAGGACAGTCTGTAGCTAGTGCCGTGTTCTTCAGGGTTGTGTGTTGGGAGCAGTCTGTAGCTAGTGCCGTGTTCTTTGGGGTTGCGTGTTGGGGGCAGTCCGTAGCTAGTGCCGTGTTCTTTGGGGTTGCGTGTTGGGGGCAGTCTGTAGCTAGTGCCGTGTTCTTCAGGGTTTGCGTGTTTGGGTCAGTCTGTAGCTAGTGCCGTGTTCTTCAGGGTTGCGTGTTGGGGGCAGTCCGTAGCTAGTGCCGTGTTCTTCAGGGTTGTGTGTTTGGGTCAGTCTGTAGCTAGTGCCGTGTTCTTCAGGGTTGCGTGTTGGGGGCAGTCTGTAGCTAGTGCTGTGTTCTTCAGGGTTGTGTGTTGGGGGCAGTCTGTAGCTAGTACCGTGTTCTTCAGGGTTGCGTGTTGGGGGCAGTCTGTAGCTAGTGCCGTGTTCTTCAGGGTTGCGTGTTGGGGGCAGTCTGTAGCTAGTGCCGTGTTCTTCAGGGTTGCGTGTTGGGGGCAGTCTGTAGCTAGTGCCGTGTTCTTCAGGGTTGCGTGTTGGGGGCAGTCTGTAGCTAGTGCTGTGTTCTTCAGGGTTGCGTGTTGGGGGCAGTCTGTAGCTAGTGCCGTGTTCTTCAGGGTTGCGTGTTGGGGGCAGTCTGTAGCTAGTGCTGTGTTCTTCAGGGTTGCGTGTTGAGGACAGTCTGTAGCTAGTGCCGTGTTCTTCAGGGTTGTGTGTTGGGAGCAGTCTGTAGCTAGTGCCGTGTTCTTCAGGGTTGCGTGTTGGGGGCAGTCTGTAGCTAGTGCCGTGTTCTTCAGGGTTGCATGTTTGGGTCAGTCTGTAGCTAGTGCTGTGTTCTTTGGGGTTGTGTGTTGGGGTCAGTCTGTAGCTAGTGCCGTGTTCTTCAGGGTTGCGTGTTGGGGGCAGTCTGTAGCTAGTACCGTGTTCTTCAGGGTTGCGTGTTGGGAGCAGTCTGTAGCTAGTGCCGTGTTCTTCAGGGTTGCGTGTTGGGGGCAGTCTGTAGCTAGTGCTGTGTTCTCTGGTTTGCGTGTTGGGGGCAGTCTGTAGCTAGTGCCGTGTTCTTCAGGGTTGTGTGTTGGGGGCAGTCTGTAGCTAGTGCTGTGTTCTTCAGGGTTGTGTGTTTGGGTCAGTCTGTAGCTAGTGCCGTGTTCTTCAGGGTTGCGTGTTGGGGTCAGTCTGTAGCTAGTGCTGTGTTCTTCAGGGTTGTGTGTTTGGGTCAGTCTGTAGCTAGTGCCGTGTTCTTCAGGGTTGCGTGTTGGGGGCAGTCTGTAGCTAGTGCCGTGTTCTTCAGGGTTGCGTGTTGGGGGCAGTCTGTAGCTAGTGCCGTGTTCTTCAGGGTTGCGTGTTGGGGGCAGTCTGTAGCTAGTGCCGTGTTCTTCAGGGTTGTGTGTTTGGGTCAGTCTGTAGCTAGTGCCGTGTTCTTCAGGGTTGCGTGTTGGGGGCAGTCTGTAGCTAGTGCCGTGTTCTTCAGGGTTGCGTGTTGGGGGCAGTCTGTAGCTAGTGCCGTGTTCTTCAGGGTTGCGTGTTGGGGGCAGTCTGTAGCTAGTGCCGTGTTCTTCAGGGTTGTGTGTTGGGTCAGTCTGTAGCTAGTGCCGTGTTCTTCAGGGTTGTGTGTTGGGGGCAGTCTGTAGCTAGTGCCGTGTTCTTCAGGGTTGTGTGTTGGGGACAGTCTGTAGCTAGTGCCGTGTTCTTCAGGGTTGTGTGTTGGGGCAGTCTGTAGCTAGTGCTGTGTTCTTCAGGGTTGTGTGTTGGGGCAGTCTGTAGCTAGTGCCGTGTTCTTCAGGGTTGGTGTTGGGGGCAGTCTGTAGCTAGTGCCGTGTTCTTCAGGGTTGTGTGTTGGGGGCAGTCTGTAGCTAGTGCCGTGTTCTTCAGGGTTGTGTGTTGGGGGCAGTCTGTAGCTAGTGCGTGTTCTTGGGTTGTGTTGGGGCAGTCTGTTAGTGCGTGTTCTTCAGGTTGTGTTGGGGCAGTCTGTAGCTAGTGCCGTGTTCTTCAGGGTTGTGTGTTGGGGGCAGTCTGTAGCTAGTGCCGTGTTCTTCTGGGTTGTGTGTTGGGGGCAGTCTGTAGCTAGTGCCGTGTTCTTCAGGGTTGCGTGTTGGGGGCAGTCTGTAGCTAGTGCCGTGTTCTTCAGGGTTGTGTGTTGGGGGCAGTCTGTAGCTAGTGCCGTGTTCTTCAGGGTTGCGTGTTGGGGTCAGTCTGTAGCTAGTGCCGTGTTCTTCAGGGTTGCGTGTTGGGGGCAGTCTGTAGCTAGTGCCGTGTTCTTCAGGGTTGTGTGTTGGGGGCAGTCTGTAGCTAGTGCCGTGTTCTTCAGGGTTGTGTGTTGGGGGCAGTCTGTAGCTAGTGCCGTGTTCTTTGGGGTTGCGTGTTGGGGGCAGTCTGTAGCTAGTGCCGTGTTCTTCTGGGTTGCGTGTTGGGGGCAGTCTGTAGCTAGTGCCGTGTTCTTCAGGGTTGTGTGTTGGGGGCAGTCTGTAGCTAGTGCCGTGTTCTTCAGGGTTGTGTGTTGGGGGCAGTCTGTAGCTAGTGCCGTGTTCTTCAGGGTTGCGTGTTGGGGGCAGTCTGTAGCTAGTGCCGTGTTCTTGGGTTGCGTGTTGGGGGCAGTCTGTAGCTAGTGCCGTGTTCTTCAGGGTTGTGTGTTGGGGGCAGTCTGTAGCTAGTGCCGTGTTCTTCTGGGTTGCGTGTTGGGGGCAGTCTGTAGCTAGTGCCGTGTTCTTCAGGGTTGTGTGTTGGAGGCAGTCTGTAGCTAGTGCCGTGTTCTTCAGGGTTGCGTGTTGGGGGCAGTCTGTAGCTAGTGCCGTGTTCTTCAGGGTTGTGTGTTGGGGGCAGTCTGTAGCTAGTGCCGTGTTCTTCTGGGTTGCGTGTTGGGGGCAGTCTGTAGCTAGTGCCGTGTTCTTCAGGGTTGCGTGTTGGGGGCAGTCTGTAGCTAGTGCCGTGTTCTTCAGGGTTGCGTGTTGGGGGGCAGTCTGTAGCTAGTGCCGTGTTCTTCTGGGTTGCGTGTTGGGGGCAGTCTGTAGCTAGTGCCGTGTTCTTCAGGGTTGTGTGTTGGGGGCAGTCTGTAGCTAGTGCCGTGTTCTTCAGGGTTGTGTGTTGGGGGCAGTCTGTAGCTAGTGCCGTGTTCTTCAGGGTTGCGTGTTGAGGACAGTCTGTAGCTAGTGCCGTGTTCTTCAGGGTTGTGTGTTGGGGGCAGTCTGTAGCTAGTGCCGTGTTCTTCAGGGTTGCGTGTTGGGGGCAGTCTGTAGCTAGTGCCGTGTTCTTTGGGGTTGCGTGTTGGGAGCAGTCTGTAGCTAGTGCCGTGTTCTTCTGGGTTGCGTGTTGGGGGCAGTCTGTAGCTAGTGCCGTGTTCTTCAGGGTTGTGTGTTGGGGGCAGTCTGTAGCTAGTGCCAGCCAGTACAAGGACCAGCCCACAGGTACAAAGACCAGCCCACAGGTACAAGGACCAGCCCACAGGTACAAACGAGGGAGAGCTCTGAAGAGGGTTCGAGGCTCCACAGCAGAGAGGAGGGTTAGAGTTAGTACCTTAGTCCATGCAGCAAACAGCAGGGGTCAGAGGTCAGGGGTCAGGGGTTAGGGGTCAGGGG